AATGACACCCCCCATGCGTTGCCATTCCTGAGGACTCAGGTGTTATTCCTCTGTACCCAGTAAATTCACACCATATTCCACCCTTCAAGTCGAAACACAGTCATGCAAACACAACTGCTTCACGGTAGAAAAACGAATGGGACAGAGGTACCCAAGCAATTGACTTTTGTACAAAGTCTCCCTCTGGACTGTATGTACTCTGGATGTACTAAGACAAAATTTGTATTCCTTAAGGTACAATTACAAATTTATCATACACACACACACTATTATCATTTAAGACTATTTATACAAACAACTTTACAAGCAAATAAATCTTTATTATTATTGAAACGTAAATAAAAACTCTATATATCTACGCAGAGCACCCAGTAAGCATATTATTAAATAAAGACTAATTATTTGTTGAGTCAACAAAACCAGTTCTAGTTACAAGGTACTCAATAGTTATTATATCTCGTAATGCTTTTCGTCGTTTTGATGTGTATATAATTTTATATATATATATATACACATCCGTATATATTAAGAGCAATGTTTATGTACTATAATTATGTCACATATTTTTCACCTCATCTGCCCTTTATACGCTTTTTATTTTTACCCAATGGTTAGCTGGTGGAGAATGCCATATGGCCATAAGCTCGCCACTTGCACAAAGTTTTATTGTACAGTAAATAAATAAAACCTACATTAATTACTAACATTTATTTTTACTGTTCTTTCAGCCTCCACACGGAGTGTGTTCAAACTAAATTAGATACGAAGGCACTTCAATTAATTCACCAATTATCAGTACTGTAATATAATTATAGACGCAAACTAAACCAATAGCGATGCCTTTATACCTATTAATGGAACCCGTTCGCCCTCTCCTGGAGTGTTGACTCGATCGGGCGAGGGAAATAAATGTTGACGGGACCCATTAATATTACGCGACTCACACTTAACGCCGTTTATTTGCGGCACTCAATGTCGAGCCGATTACAACACTACTCCATCAAGCCTCCGCGACACACATGAGAATTCACATAGATCTCGCTAATGCGTCTACTTTACATATCAATTTTTAGTCCTCACTTCTCCAGTGAATGCAGAAAAGCCTAGAAAACGAAGGATTATTAGTAATTAGATAGAATGACCCTATTGCTAGTGATGTACCCTGAAATCACCTGGTTAATTATTGATAAATTCTTAACGGTGAACCTACCAACCTTCATCTTCACTTATCATCACTCACTACTATTCCACAAGCGTATACTGATAGCAATTGTAGGGTTAACATTCCATTTTCATCCCAAATAAATAGAAATTTAGCTATTATCCCTTCTTGGATAACAGCTAAATTTCTAGTCCGGGTTGCTACAAATTTTTTTTCTGCAACTTAGAATGGCAAATAAGCTGACGACCTATTTAATGGAAAATGGTAACCGTCACCTATAGACATGAGCAGTGCCATGGACATAACAGAGTATACTGTTTCGCTCATGATACCCCCCATGCGTTGCCATTCCTGAGAAGTAAGGTGTTATACCTCTGTACCCTGTAAATTCACTGTCATATCCTACCCTTCAAACCGAAACACACACACAGCCATGCAAACACAACTGGTTCACGGTAGAAACATGAATAGAGCAGAGACGTTCAAGCGAAGGACTTTTGTACAAAATCTCTCTCTGGTAAAATAAAGAAAAGACAGAAATTGAACAAAATAAACAGTCGAATTGCGGCCATTTGAAATCGTTACATAAAATATTTATAATTGAGTTGAAGTATTACAGACAGAATGTCCGATATTGTTAACAGGAACTAAGCATTAATTAATTCAATGCTATATAAACCTAGCTCACGAGTGGGACGTCACATCCTGTATACAGCCAGTGTGAACCTCAGGGCCGGCCTGTAACAATGCAGGTCACCGGCACGTGCCACGCGGCGACGTCCGAGTGACGGCTCGAGCTACGAGCGGCCGTGCACGCGCGTCAGCTGTCACGTATTGGGCTATCCGTTCACAATACACAGACTCACTAGCTAGCTATACCAGAGGGAGACTGTACAAAAGTCGTTTGCTTGAGTACCTCTGTCCCATTCGTGTTTCTACTGTGAAGCAGTTATGTTTGTATAACTTTGTATGAAATGAAATATCAAAGTATTGCTCGAAATTATACGTCACACCTGTTATGTCACTACATATAAATTGTTACAAATCACTGTAAATGAAATCACAGATAATGACAGCATTCTTTATTTTTGAGTCATGTACTTCGGTTCACAATGAAGTAAATTTGTAACAGTCTACAGACTAGACCGTACAGACCAAGCGAATAGAGACTTTTGTCTAGTCTCTATTCGCTCGCTCTTATCATAAAAATCATAATTCATTTTTCACAATCATTTACAAATAACAGGTGCGATATTAAGTGCAAAAATTTTTTTTTCACTTGTCACTAGTGATATCACTGTGAATAAAAATAATAATTGCACTAAATGATAATAAATTAAATGTAGCAAAAGTTTTCATGGCCAATAGACAACACTAACGAAATTATGAGGTCCCCCTTTTAGTCATTTGACTATGAAAGTTAAAAACCCTGATGTTACATATCCCTTACAAAGGAGAAGACAACTGCAACTAAGGATAATGTAGGACGTGTTGAGTTTACACAATAAAGACTTGAATTGAATGGCGCGTAAACATATAAATCTAGCTGGAGATGAGTTAGTAGAGCCCGCCGCTTTGTCATCGTCACCCTGCCTGGTACATGTACGCAGCGTCCCTGCCACTACACATTACATGTGTTACAAACTGGAAGTTACATCCTGTCCTCATTATTACAATAGAATAGGCATAATCTTAAATGAATAAAATATAAAATATAATCTTTATGTAAGTAAAACTTTTTAGAAGTTCTTTGAAATCATCTCTTTATAATTTCAGGTTTCAAATTTATGTACAAAATAATATTTATATTTGGTGTATAAAATTACTATAACTAACGTCGTGTTTCATTGTGTGTTGTATGCAATAGAAAATAACACATCCATTTACCAGAGACTGTATAGAATCATACATATTTGTATCCTCTGATCACCAGTTTGTCTGCATAATATTTTTGAATTAGGTATATTATGAAATACAAAAACAATTACCGGGTACTGTTTATATCATAGTTTGTAAGTGACGATAGGGAGTTAGCAATGGGAACTAATGGTGCCATTGCTAGCAATCAGGTCGACCACCGCCCAATCTTCTCTGGAAACCATCGTGGTGAATTCTCCATGATGAGTCGACTCTGACCTGATTCAGTTCTCGCCTTGTACCCCGCCTGCACATACCTACAGCACAGGCGGGATTTCCATTCCATTTTGATTCAATTAAAAAATAAATTGCAATTTGTCTGTTTGTTATGAGATCGTACAGATGAAAAGAAAGATGTCTCGACGCAATAATAGGAAAGAAAAGATCGCAAATGTTTATATTAATGTTTGCGCTGAGTAATATCCTGAGTTGTTGTTTGCTTGCATCCGGCCCCGCTACCGTTTCCGCTTCCGCGTCCGCCCCCGCCCCCGCCCCCGCCGCCGCTTATAAAAATATGCACGCTCCAATTAATAACAATCAAGAATATTTGTTATTGCGTTTATTAGAATCGAACTATATAGCACCAAAACAAATTGATCTTTTGTACACTAACCGTATCTCGCGACTTTACCTGCGTGAATCAGCATATAAAGTATCGTGTGTACTAAGTTGGGATATAACCTACCCGCGTACTAAATTTCGATCAATTTTATGAAGTAGTTTTTGCTTGAATGAGTAACAAACATCTATTCGTACAAACAAACAAAGATTTCTCGCAATCATTGTCTGTAAGCGACGTTACCACTCTCCATCAGGTGGACCGTCAGCTTGTTTGCTATTCTAGTTGCATACTAAAGTACACCTTGAGAACCCGAAAGGAGAAATCGTCTACATGTCTTTGAAATTTCACATGCTAATAAATTTGAATATATTGTGGCAACTTTCAAAGATGGGAAGTCCAAAGCCATCTGTATTTTTGTCCGTGTACTAAGCACCGATTACGTCACCAAAACTAAATAGATTTTAGTAATTATTTTTGAAATCGGAAAGGTCAAAACATAGTGAGTTCGGTAATTTCCCCTTATATATGTATATATATTGAATAAAAAAAAACTTAATTCTTCAAATAATAAATATTTTTAATAGATAATATCATATAATGTAATCAATAATAAATGTCACAATTTATTTATTTATTTAATTATTCGCCTGACGAGCGCGGCTTCTACTAGCAAAACTTATTGTGGGCCGGCCTATGTTTATCAGTGGACAATTCATGGCTAATACAATGCAATACAAATTGATTTATTTACACTTCATTGCACCATTTATAAAAATAATAAATACTTATCGCGAAGCTGCGCTAAGCTAAACTACTGAACCGATTTTAATAAAATTTCTATACGACCAATCTGTAAGTATATCCTTTTAGATAAAAAAGAAGTTTCCAAACCGGTTTACAACAGACTGAAAAAAAAAACAATACAACCGAATTGGCTCCTTTTGTAGGCGGTTAAAAAGTAAATCAATGTATCGGTTTATTTACGTGGCACAGACTGCTCAGTCGATTTGGTTGAATATTCCAATTATCAATAACTTCAAGAGCCGCCTATAGAGTAAGTAATCTAATTTCAGATGACGAATTCTACACAGAAGGTTTACTAGCGGTTAGCCAATGATATAAGATTGATTAGGCAGCCAATACCTACCTCGTTCGAATCATCCAATCAACTGTAAACCGTAACAATTATTCAATTGCATTTGAGAGAGTCGATAGATCGAGAATTAGATTCGGATATATGTTTATCTACATATCAGTTCTCGACTACTTGATTACACTCATCGATATTTTGGTAATTCTATTGTGATCGCTCCTTTTATAAAGTGCCACACAATCACCAATTGTCTTTTTTTTTAATAGATAACAATGGAGTGGTATCCCCGCCTGCGCTAACGATATACGCTGGCGGAGCACCATTGACGGATGATTAGCCCATCGTGATTAATACACCTGGGATCCAGCACGATGGTTTCCAGAGGGACTATATGGAGGTGGACATGACAGGGTATATTGCTAGCGATGCCACTGGTAGTCCGCATTACTATCGAACCCTTCCCCCTTCCACCAATTGTCTTGTCCTCAAGCTAGAATAACCTGCGCTATGAGCACCCGCATAATCTACATTTGAGGACACAACCCAGAACAGCCAGGCTGGGGTCCATTTAGAAAATTTCCTTAACTAAATTGACCCGGTCGAGAATCAAACTTGGAAACTTATTACGCTAAGCAATGTACCCACTGTCGCGCCACGAAAGTCGTCTTTTATTTGTTAAGTTCATGATATTATTCTTATTTGCCAAATTATGATAAAAAGCGTGATCACTAAGAAAAATTACGATGCATCATCTTTTACATAACTTTTAGTTCCAAATTTAAATATTTTATATTTTATTACAGCTCTCACACAATCCCACCAATGGCCTAGTCTTCAAGCTAGGTTACCCTGTGTTATGAGAAACCAAATAACAAATATCAAAAAGCACAACCTAGAACAACTAGACTAGAGAAGTCCTGAATTGGATCGTACGGGATCAAACCCAATACTTTTTTACGCAAAGCAACGTGCCCACCACAGCTCTCCGGAGCTTGTCAAATTTTATTCACATTTCATCGGCAACATGTCATAATAGGCGACTAAGATAACAAAGTACCATCCACCTGTGTATACCCAAATAATAAATCTCGAAATATCAAACGGCTTGAATAGCATGGAGCATTAAACTTTACATTTTATACAATATAGTATGGTAAACATATTTATTACTACTTTCCATTGGTATCAACAACGGACATCACAAAATACACTGTGTCGCCCTTTTATGCTTTGCTATTGTTGAAAATTAAAATGTGACGGCTCCCTATTTTGTTATTTTAATACCAAATCTCAGTACAACTGCTTTGCAGAATCACACGAACTTATTTTTACCGCCGTATAACCCGCCACAAACTAAAGTTCCATCCCAACCATCTGGATGAGTGGCGATCCTCCAGTGTGCGTTTTTCAAGGCACTGTCTTCCATTCACTCTTTGGAATCAACTTCCAGCAACAACATTTCTAAACCAATATGACATCGAAATCTTCAAGAAAAGAGCATATTCCTTTTTAAAAGGCCGACAGCACACCTGCAATGCCTTTTGTGTTGCGGGTGATCATGGCCAGCGGTTGACACTTACCATCAAGTAAGCCGCATGCTCGTTTGCCCCCTGTATAATATAAAAAAATCTCAGTGCTTATTTTGCTCAAGCAAATTGTATACTTGAATATTAATATCTAATAGAGAAGGAATAGATGTGTGTATTTCAGCATCGTGATGGCAGACAACTGTGCTCCGTGGCGTGTGGTGTGTACCGGTGTCAGCGGACACGCGGACAAATGTCTTTATATTTGTCGAGTCGGCTCAAGATTTCAAGTCCAAAGAGAGGCAACCTTCGGATAAATATTTTAGTTTGGTTATAATAAAACAAATCTACATGCTACTCGTAATGTATACATGCAGTGCTAGTAAACAGATTACAAAATATTTACTTCGGACAAAATGTCCCCCATGTACGTTGGCTTCTAGTTGAATATTCAAATCCGGCGACCGCGACACGCACATACAATTGTGTGGATTGTAAAGTGCGCACGTTTATTGCCCAAATATTGATGTAAAATGTTTTCTGGCCTGCTCATAACAGTACTCACCATTGGAAGACACGCCAACGCTCACGGTAAGTCGCTTGGTCTTTTCAACATTATTAAAAAAGATAATATTCTCCATTCGAATTTATTTTTATATGTAAACTCACATTTAGTACTTTCACGTTAGCTGCTAACATTATCACGATTAATGTCGGTTTATTTTTCAACGGACTTCAAAAAGAAGTTGCTATTTTATGTTTGTTACCTCTAAACTTCGTCAGTTATAATTATTATTTTATCTGAAAGGATACACTTACAGATTGATGCCATAATATTTTTGTCAAAATCTTTTCAATATATTAGTTTTTAAATCAAAATAACTAATTTTTTGTGGTACACAATCTGAATTATTTAAGAAAAATATTATTTTAATTATTAGTACTAAATATAAATAAATAAATACAAGGATTATTCCAAATCCATCAAAGATTCTATAAATTAAAAATTGAATAACAACAATAATATAGGATTATTGAAATAATACATTACAATAATAAAAAAAAAAACTATCTAATGCGACAAACGAGTACAATGCAAGCAACATAATAATACATTTATTTTAAAATCTCTAATGCAGTAAACATTTAATTACAAAGCAACATCTGCTCAATATTTCAGACATTGAAGTAACAACAAAAAAGTCGGAGATATTAGTAGACAAAATACGCAGAAAATTGATGGAAGACAACTACGACTACATGTCTTCAGAAACAGAAGAATTAGTCAGTGTTAAGTATACTCATAATAAACCAACCAATGAACCATATTATGATCATCGTTATACAGCCTCTGATGATTATAATGACGTTAATATGGATAAAAATCAAAAATTAGTTGCGAGAACTAATGACAAGTTGGAATCTTTAACTAGATACATATCACCATCAGAACAAAATACAGGTACAGATGATCAGAGAGTATCGAAACATGATCTGCTTTATTATGTAGATAATGAACATTTAGAGAATGATAAAAATATTGAAAATATCATAACTGATTCAGAAGCTTACGAGCATATGGAAATAGGAAGTAACAGAAATGATTTTTCTAATACAAAAGTCAAATACCGAATGCTAAAGGTAAGAGAAAACATTTAAGTCTATCAAATCCGGCCATATACGAAATACTGTTCTCACCTATGGGCAGAAACGCCACAGTATCTTGCTTCTTCTTGGATCGCATTCAAAGTCGGGCGGCTTGAATTATTGACGATCAGTGGCTTACTATCCGACTCGACTCACTGAAACTGCGTAGAGATGTTGCATCTCTATGCATCTTTTATCGAATATATCATGGGGAGTGTTCTGAAGATTTCTTCGATTGATACCTGCTGCTGATTTTCACCACCGTACAATCCGGGACAAATTAAAGTTGCATCCCAATTATCTGGATGATTAGCGGTTCTTCGCCGTATGTTTTTCAAGGCACTTTCTCCCACGCATGACCACATTTTGTCAACTTTCAGCAGCAGTATCTATTTATGGACCGATACGACATCGTAACCTTCAAGAAAAGAGCTTATTCCTATTTAAAAGGCCAGCAGCACCCCTGCAATGCTTCTGGTGTTGCGGGTGATCATGGGCGGCGGTAGTTACTTACTATCAGGTAAATCGCAAGCACGTTTGCCCCCGTGTTATAAAAAAATCCAATTCTATTCAAAAAGACTATCTATATCTTTACACTAAAATAAAAATTCTTAATATACCATCTTTTTTCAATTTCAATATATCAAATCAATGCTTTCTGCAATCATTAATATTAAGAGTAAATATCATATTGAAGTCATGTTTTTGTTTAAAGATAAAGCCGCAGCATCAGTCACGTCGAAGTAGCTCAACTTATCGGCGATTCATTCAAGAGGAAGGAGACAAAGGAGTGGCTATCATTAATCTGGACGACGGTCCATTCCCAGAGTTCCGGCTCCCTCGCACACGCACACAGTACATGCACCAGGATGAAAGTGAAGACGAGATGGATGCAGCTTCGCTGTCAGACGTAAGCAATATATCGGGTAGCGGTGACGAAGTAGCCCTTACTTGACCTTGGAAACTATTGCCTACGTATGAAAAATTTGGACAAAAACCGCAATTATGCGTGGGAACAGTAAAAGTACTTATATTAAAAATTTGTTTCTTTTTTTTAAATACTCTTGTCTTGATACTTACTATTCAGATCTGCTACTTGTAAAGTCCTCGTGAGCAAATTAATTTGAACAACAAGTTTGATTATTAAGAAGCATCCATTTTGTTTTACAAAGAAAATTACAACAAGTATTATTAAGAGCTAATTAGTTCGAGATATTTACGATAGTCGCTTTAGTGGCGGTTCAGGTGTTGCTGGGTCGGGACAGAAATGGCGAATTTATCGAACGCTTGTGCGTTACTCGTGTTATTGTAAAACTTTTGAACATTCAATTTCCGTCATTTTATAGTCGAATTTATAGCAACCTAGCGCGTATATATTTATGATTTGTATATAATAATTGTATATTGTTTGTTTTGTTACCGACTAACTTACTGAGTATAAACACTACAATATAATCTGAGAATGGTAACGTTTATATTGCAAATATTGCAAAGTTTAACAAATGCAGTTTTAATAACATTCTTTCTAATGATATTCGATGTTTATGCTTTTGTTGGAAGTACTTCAAAGTTAACAACAGGTATTACATATAATCTTGTTTTTAAATCATATGACATAATGTAAAAAGAGCCATGTCTTCCTTGACACAAATTATTTTAAGACTAATTCAGAATTCATCATTATGTTTTGAAAATCATTTATCTGTAGGCACACTACAGATACTGGCGACCGTCCTCGTAGAGAAATAGAATTGCTGTACACTCGTAGATATTAAACAACATAGTGTAGATTATAAAATTATATAATTAGGATTTTTTAATTGCGTTTTTCTCAAACCGTTACACGCGCCCTCCGGCTAAAAGTAACTTTTCCGAACTATATATATATATATATATATATATATATATATATATATATATATATATATATATATATATAAACGTTATCCTTCCGTTGCTTATCGTTTTCATCGAAACGAATAGTGAAATGATTCATGTCATTTTCAACCTAATACGGAATTCACCAAATGCACGATTACGCTTTTTAAAATTTCTTCTTATATTTTAACAGTTTTGTCGCGAACCACCAAAAACAAAGATTTAGTAGATGTGCTGAAGGAGGATCTCCGCAGAAATAACGACGACTACGCAGATTTGACTACATTAAATAATAAATCCAGGCCTCATCTAAATGGTACACATGTAACACGAGTCCATCAAACTAAGACAACAACGCCTAAACAAGAAGAGTTCTATTATAGAAAAGATTTCGAAATTATTAATCATAATAAAAATTATATAGATACTATGAAAGACAATGTAAAACGAAGAGCTTATGATAATGTGGACTCGCTAGACATCAGGTATTTTAATAAAAAACTTAAACAAAATCTAATTAAACCCAATAACCTGCAAAATAATGAATCTATAATAGATGTAAATAAAATACAAAATCAAAATTTAACGAATATACAGGGTGGCCCATAAGTCCTTAGTAATGAAAAAAATTAATTAAAATAAAACTAATTACACTATGAATAATATTTTTATTTGTAAATATAGCTAGAAAAACGGGAATTATTTTTTGTAAATAACGTCGTCCAAATGTAATCCGTTACAGTCACGGCACTCTTGCAAACGTCTTCTGAAATTGTCGATGACTGCGCGGCACGTCAGTGCTGAAATGCTTGCCATTTCGCTGCGGATGTTTTCTTTTAGGTCATTAATTGACCGCGGGTTAGAGTCGTACACTTTAGCTTTAAGGTAGCCCCACAAAAAAAAATCCATTGGAGTCAGATCCGGGCTACGTGGTGGCCAGGAAATGTCTCCTCTCTTAGAGATAACTTTGTTTGGAAAAAGTTGACGGATAACGGGCATAGCAGTATTGGAGGTGTGGGAAGTTGCTCCATCCTGTTGAAACCATGTTCGGGCATTAAAGCCTGGAAAGTTATGCAATTTTTGTGTGAAAAACTCCTCGATCATGGCCACATATCGCTCCGAAGTAACAGTAACAGCACGCCCTCTGCCGTCCTCAAAAAAGTAAGGCCCTATGATGCCATGGGCTGACATAGCGGCCCAAACAGTAACTTTAGGGCTATGTAAGGGCTTCTGGTGCTTAAGTTTTGGATTAATCGGGCTCCAATAGCGGCAATTTTGTTTACTAACATGTCCGTTAATGTGGAAGTGTGCCTCATCAGAGAACATTATGTTATTGAACGAAGTAAACCGATTAAACATTTCATTAGCATAATTCACTCTCTGAATGGCATCAGTTTCTTTTAATTCTTGCACCAACTGAATTTTGTAAGGGTGCATAAGTAAATCTTTCTTCAAAATCCATTGTAACGATGTCCTGGATACGTTTAATGCACTGGAACGCTTACGAGTTGACTGTGTAGGATTTTCACGAATAGATTGTGCCACTGTGTCGATGTTTTGTTCCGTACGTAATGTCCTTGGGCGACCCAACCGCGGTTTATCTAACGTCGAACCGGTCTCCTCGAACTTAGCAACCCAATTCTTAATCGTTTGGAGAGCTGGGGTGTCATCAAAGTTGTGTAAACCTTTGTGTTCTCGAAATTTACGCCTCGCAACGGTTGCCGAATTGTTGTTTTGATAAAACTCGCGCACACAAAACGCACGGTCCGCTCCGGTGAAACGCTCCATCGCGACTAAATTCCCAGAAACGGAAGTTACTGCCCCCGCTTCCCCTGCACCGCTCACGCGCGCCGATTTCGTTTAATTCAAATTTTACTTTTCTAAGGACTTTTGGGCCACCCTGTATTACAAAAGAGATTCAGTACTGTAACTGTTAAGAACTCGGCAGCCATAGACGAATACGTAAACGACCAACAACCAAAGTATGTAAATAAAGAAAAGAATTAAAAAATTAAGATGTTCTTCGAGAAAAATAAAGGGTTATTGAGTAAATTCATAAACAACAAGAATTTAAAAACACAAACAAATATGAGAGCATCGGATACATCAAGTGACGAAGATATAAGTATCTCAAAGCCAAAACTCAGATCTTTGAATAAGTCGCCGGACGCGGATCAGTTGGATATGTCTCCAGCTAAAGGTGCTCGCTATACGCTATGAGGATTAAGGTATACCTTGTCATTTATTATAAAAAATAAATACCTCTACAAACTAAAGTCAAAAGAATACAATTTAAACTGCTATTTCGGCAACAAATTTTAGTGGAATTTGAGAGAGATCGATGAAGCATTTGACTGGGATATGGGAACAGACTGAGGCACAATTTTGATTGGAATCAAATCTCAGCTTAAATCTTTTAATTCACGTCATATATTCGAATAATATAATACTAAATTCTCACTTGCTTCGTACATTTAAAATATTAAGTTACATTCATTAACTCTATAGGGGAATAAAATACCTGTACAAGATACAGAACATTCAATATAAAAGACTACAACTAAATACCCAGCTACCCTCTTCTAACAGAGAAAAACTAAGCTGTAAGACATTCCCATATTAAATATCTTGACGATTTTACTTACTTACATATGACTAATGAAAATATTGTTCAGGGTCGGCTATGCCAGCGCAGCGTACTGTTCCCAGAAGCCCCGAAGTACGACAGCAAGGGCGTCCAATATCTGACGGCGCACGCCAACATGGTCAAGAAGGGAGACTTTGCCAAAACGCGCGCGCCCCCTCTCGTATTGCCGAGGTGCTGCAACTGTTGCAGGAAGTCCGTGTTAGGATGTGAATGACTCAACATTCAACATACGAGTCTGTGTGTCAAGATTTAGTCATAAGAATTTGTTCCACTAACACAACAAATTCAAAAACTTTCATTTTAACATTGGGTAGGGCACCAATTCTAATAAACCTGTGATATCTACTAGGAGACATACCGTTACGACAGGTAGACGGACGAAGTCGCACGATAAGACTTTCGTTGTATCATTTCGGTACAAAACCCTTAAAATAGTAAATTTTAGAACCTCTTTATCTTCGGAGTCGTTTGAAAACTACATCCTATTTAATCTTAAAATTATAATTTCTTTACTTAAAATTTCTAAACGCATTAATAGATAAGTGAATTCACCTGAAGCATCTAGTCGCGGCTCAGAAATATGACCTGTTTGATCATGTAGTTCACTTGCTTATGTCTAGATCTAGGTGGGTATATTAAACGCCTGAGACGTAATTAATCAAAATAAACTTTATTAATTAGAATTAAATGGAATAATGCTTCAATTTGCGATGTTTCATCGTGGAATCCCTTCAAATTACCAACGTCTCCTTCCTGAAACAATCAAATAAGATCTTCAATTAAACGCCTACACCTGCACTGCGTACACTCATGTACGAGTACTGTATGTAAATGCCTACAAGCTACACGTTGATTAATTACACACACACACACATACACACATACATACACACACATCCTTACTTACTTGTATCTATTTATGTACTGACGCATACTGAAAATAACTTATTTATTTATTAATTTAGTATCCGACAAGTCCCTTTACACTTACTTACATATTATACCAAATAAGCAACATAGTAATTAAAAAGCATATGATTTTATCGCATTGGCCTTATAAAACTTTAACGTCAACTTCCATTCGGTTCCTCCTGGAAACCATCGCGGTTAATTCCTATGGAATTCGTTACAATGACTGACTGAACTGCTTTCATCCACAGCTATCAGCCCCCACTAGTACACCGCGTATATGGATAGCGCAGGTGGAGATTTCATTCCATTCTTACCCATTATAAAAAACTTACTGTCCAGGATATTTATCATTCAACACCGTCCACTCACCCGCCCATAGCTTTTAAGCGACTCAGAGTAATGTTCAGCCTCGACAATGCATTGAAAACCTGTAGACTGACTAAATAGACCTGGCCACTGACGCACGCACGTGTCACTGATTGAAATTGCTATTGTGTAGTAAACTGTATAGAATGACAACCAGGACAATACACACAGCATATATTAGTGGTTTATTAGATGCTAAGAAATGCATCTCCTGATCTACTTCGCCAAATTGATTTAAATGTTTATTTTCTCTGTTTACTAGTCTCTGAAGCTATTCTAGCCAATAAATTTGATTTTAATCCTTTATTTGAAGATTTTACTCCAAATGTGGTAGATTCCTTTACACTTCCCATCAACTTTTTCTTTTATAAAATTCCTGTAGCATCACTTGACGGCTTATTTACCAAACAATCACATCAAACGTTATTGTTCTTTCAGTATTGGTAGCACCTACACTTTGTCTCCCAAAAGTCATTCCTCCAT